GTTAAGCAGCTGAATGGTTGCCATGGAGATTGAAGGACTTCTCAAACATGAAAGAATCAAAGGAAAACTGCAGGAAAAACATGACAACATGACGAGACTGCCCCTTTAAAAATTATACTGTATGTGATTATTTATTGAAACTCATGACGACCACAATATATGGAATTTGTTGACAGTTTTTTGAAACAACAAACAAACAAAAATCTCAACAGATTTATTTCAGTGAGGGTTGAGAATATTTCTGGGGGCTGTGGGCCCCCTGAAGCGGCCCTGGAGACGCCCCTGTGGGGCTGCGGCCCTGGAGACGCCCCTGTGGGGCTGCGGCCCCCCGAGGCGGCCCTGGAGACGCGCGGCCCCCCGAGGCGGCCCTGGAGACGCCCCTGTGGGGCTGCGGCCCCCCGAGGCGGCCCTGGAAACGCCCCTGTGGGGCTTTAATCTGCTGGTTCCTCTGCAGGGAAACTGCTATGTGTGGAACCTGGCTGGAGGGATGGGAGACGAAGTCACCCAGTTGATTCCCAAGACCAAGATCCCAGCACACAAACGCTACTCCCTGCGCTGCAAGTTCAGCCCAGACTCCACGTGAGCGACCTTTGACCTGCATGCTCTCCTCCAGATGCCAGTTTGTCTGTTTTTCTCTGTAAATAAGTTGTGTTTGCGTTTGTTCCCTCCAGACTGCTGGCCACCTGCTCAGCAGACCAGACCTGTAAAATCTGGAGGACGTCGAATTTCTCCCTCATGACGGAGCTGAGCATCAAGAGCAACAACCCTGGAGAGACCTCTAGAGGCTGGATGTGGGACTGCGCTTTCTCTGGGGACTCCCAGTACATCGTTACTGGTGTGTATACGAGCCCTGGAGACGCCCCTGTGGGCGTCTCATGATTCATTTGAACTGTTCTTTTTATCAGAGTGGAACTTCCAGGATCAGATCTTTACATACACCAGTAATATGTGTGTTTGCCAGCGTCTGAGTTTCCATCGTCTCTGGGTCGTTTTAGATTATTTCATCCTCTTTAACCTCGACAGACCCGCAGCATAATGCTGCCACTGCAGCATATGGTAGAAGGTGAAATAGTGATGAAAAAGTTAGAAGTGAAATAATCTGCCAGTGAACAGGAAACTCCAGTCACTTGGTTGTTCAGTAATTATTAAATATATTTCTTGAAAATAGTATTTTGTGTTGAATATTTATTACCTAATCCATGTAAACATAATCACAATACTTTGACTGTTTTGAACCTAGAAATGAACCAAAGTATGAAAAAACTAAATCTATAACTGATTAAAAACTAAACAATATTAAACCAATAATAACTAATCAAAAGTAGTAAACACGTTCATTAAACTAACTGAATCAGACAAAAAGTCACAACTAAACTGATCTGAACTACCCGGGGCAGTGTTCTGTCTTCAAAGGCTCAAACTCATGTTGGTTAGTGTATGTAAACTTCTGGCCTCCACTTTAAACAGATTTCTTTAGTCCTTAATGACAGTTTTTCCTTCCACAGCGTCTTCCGACAACCTGGCCCGGCTGTGGTGCGTGGAGACGGGAGAGATCAAGCGGGAATACAGCGGCCACCAGAAGGCCGTCGTCTGCCTGGCCTTCAACGACAGCGTGCTCGGCTGAGGAAGACGAGGGGGACGACGAAGACGCCAGCAAGCCGGTTCCTCACAGTGGAGGAGAGTTGGAGGTTTCCCTGCAGCATCATGGCCGCCTCAGGCTTTACAGGACAGACTTTATCAGGCAGGCAGGAGGAGAAGCAGAAGGTAAACCTCACATTTCAACACGTTTCTGTATTTATTCACCACAACTGGACATTCAGCTGAGCTCACATTGTGTCACGTTGCAGCAAACCTCAGAGCTCCTTACTGGGACTTCAGATGAAAAAACGCACAGAATTATTGTGAAGGGGAAAGAGAAAAATAAAAAATAAATCGCTTTCATATTCAGCCCAAAATAAACAAAAGTTTGTAGAATTACCCAGGATTTTTCTGTACGTCTCATTTAAATAATTAAAGTTTTACATCTGCTATAATCTGATATCAGGGGTGTCAGAATAAAGAGGCTGAACACAAATGCATGCCACACTTCTCAGATTTCTGTTTCACTTCAAAATGATGCGTTAATTTGTTGCATAAAATCCTAAAAGTTTGTGGTTGTGTGTGTCTGTGATGCTCTGTGTTCAGATCTGTTTCTCTGTGCCTGGTGGGTCAACTGGGAATAAACCATGTACAAATGATTTATCAGTTTTAGTCTCTTTTCTGTGAGATTAAATGAAAACAACTTTTCAACATAAATACCAACAGTATGTGTTTTAATAGGCAGATAAAAACATTTCTACAACAATGGCTGCACATAATTACACTCCAGTCTAAACAAAAACAAAGATTCTGTCTGGAACCTCCAGATGGTGCCACCAGGGGGCGCATTGCTCCACCACCAGGCCTGTTTTCTGTCTCTGGAAGATGGGAATGAGCTGGCTGGCAGCAGCCCTGCATCCAGGCTGACCTCCGTCACTCAGGCAGGTAGTAGAAACACACCGACACACAGATGTTGCTGGGGAAGCAGATGTCGATGCAGAAGTAGACCAGCCGCTGTTTGCCTGGGCCTGGGGCAATTAGAGACACCATGGGGGTTAGAAACAGAACAGGCTGCTGGTAAACGTTTACATGGACCGACGTTTTCCACACACAGCTGAAAATCAGATTAAAACGTTTGGTTTTTATAAAAGTTACAGTCGATTAACAGAAATAATTTGTGTGATTTAGCCTGACAGAAGAGAAAACAGTTTTATTTTCATTTATAAATAGCACAGATTCAAACTAAAAATTTAGATACAGACTAGATTGTTGGCTAATAAATAGTCAGTCAACTTTATTTGTAGCATTTGGTGGATTTGGTTACTGCGAGATGAGTCAGCTTTCTATTTAGCTTGTAAGCTAAATATTTACAGGGCAAACTGGCTTTCTAACTAAATATTTAGCTTTAAGCTAACAAGATATTCCACAAGTCACCTTGCTATGTAATTCTTTAGTTAGCCATAAGCTAAATATTCAGCTTGCCAACTAAGCACAACATATTTACTTAGCAAGCTTGTTTGCCAAGTAGATATTTAGTGTGGATCATAATCTTATCCAGGCTCATTGGGGGGCATGGGCAGGCATTGGGGGAAAGCAGGGGGCATTGGGGGGCGTTGCCGCCCACAGAGACAGCCGTGCCCCCCTGGACTGGAAGCTGTTTGCTGTTTTTACCTCAGAGTGGCCAACTCTCTGTTATTCCTACATATATTTGATACAATAGGAGCTTCAGCACTTCCCATATCTGTACCTTCTGTCACTTTTTTTCCCAGCAGTTAAATCTGTTTAATCCGTTATTAACGTGTCGTAACCTGTTCTTCTGAGCCGCCTTTAAACGCATCATGAATGCTAAGACGCTCACACTGGGTTTACACACCTGCGCAGCAGCGATGGAGACCTGCTGCTGCTGCGCAGAGCTGCCATGATCTGTGTTAGGATGGATGCAAAGAACTTTGCACAGTTTTTACCCAAACAAACCAACTGAGTTGAGTAAAGCTGCTGGATGCAGGTAATGTTAGCTAACAGATGACTAGCTAATGTTAGCTAACAGATGACTAGCTAATGTTAGCTAACAGATGACTAGCTAATGTTAGCTAAAAGATGACTAGCTAATGTTAGCTAACAGATGACTAGCTAATGTTACCTAACAGATGACTAGCTAATGTTAGCTAACAGATGACTAGCTAATGTTAGCTAACAGATGACTAGCTAACACCAATACAGCACCTTAAGTTGTTAAGTAGCAGCCTGTAGGCTACTGATGTTGTCTGTGTTGTAGTACTTGTTACATTCACTCGAGTAACTTTTTTGTAAAAAAGGTTCTTATGACAGTAGTTTTACTGCAATGTACCTTTTTCTTTTACTTGAGTAATATTATTATTGCTACGTAGATTCATGTTGTCCCCCCAAAATAAGCCGATGCCCCCTGTTAAACCCGTCTGGAGCCGGGGCTGGTCTTATCTCTGAATTAAATATTGAAATTGACATTTATAAATGAATAAAATGGTGAAAATGTGACTCTGAAAAAACAAACATTAATTCCTTCAGGCTAAATGTTAGTCTTTGTCAGCAGCATGTTGGTCTCTGCTGACTCTGTTCAGGGACACAATGACCTTTCAGTCAGTTGAAAGGTCAGAGTTCGTCTCATGTTTCAGCTGGTTTGAGTCCTTCCTTCTCCCAGGCTGCGTGGTGCAGACAGATGCAGTTTGATTGGTTATTGATTGGGATAACAACTGATTACGTTTTATTTTCAGTGCCACTTAGCAGCCTGAGAGTCACGAGTGGAGAGTTGAGTGGAAGGAAAACATTTATCTCATCAGTGGCATGTTTCTGCTCTCACCGTCGGTCCTGCGGGTCCGGTGGACGGTTCTGTCCCGACACAGCGTCCGGAGCGGCTCGTCCAGCGAGGCCACGCCCACCTGACCACCCGCCATCACGCCCAGGAACCGCGTCCGCCTCTGCGTCTCGTTCCCAGACAGCTGGACGTCTCCCTGCAAGGACAGGGTCGCCGTTCAGACGACCACACCAACACAGGCTGACAGAACCAGAACCAGCAGGAATCATGTTGAGCTTAAAGAGCTGCTGATGACTGACCACAGCTACACACAACAGCGGTCTTCCTGAGTGAAAGGCTGCGATAGTAAACTCACTACGCCTCCAGCAGCAGGTTCCTCCGTTCGGCCTCAGATTATTGTTAGATATCAGATAATCCAGCAGAAATCATACCTGGCGTGGAACCGGACTCTGAATCGAGCCTCAGGAACAGTCGGCCCTTAAAGAGCCACAGAGTGACCATTGTGCCCCGGCCGGGCCGCTGCTGAAACCGGACCGGCCCGGATCGGATCACCGATTCAGCCTGGAGGCCACGGAGGGAGAGCTGCAGCTGCTGAGCCCATTCACCTGGTTCTGTGGTCCGCTGAGCAGGGAGCCCACATGGTCGTAGTCGGATCGCTCCATGGTCTGCAGGAAGCAGCGCTGCTGGTCTGCAGGTTGGTAGCAGATCAGGCCCTGCAGCAACATCATCATCACCTTCATCACCTTCATCATCACCTTCATCATCACCTTCATCACCTTTACCTTCATCACCTTCATCATCTTCATCACCTTTACCTTCATCACCTTCATCTTCATCATCATCTCCAAATGACCCTGAATATTCCTGATTTACAGCTGAACTGATTAATCGCGATTAATCGGTTAATTAATGATTAATTAATCATTTTTTCTATTGAAACAATAGACTGATTTCTGCTGAGCTCCGTCTTCTGGATCTCTTTGCGGTTTTACCCGTTAAGAAAAGGCAATAAAGTAAAAAATTACTAATTCAGTAATTGATTAACTGGAGAATAGAAATTCTAAAAAGGCCATTTTCTGAAAAAACACCATTCAGAGCAATAATTAATATACAATAAACATTTTGCATCTAAAATAAAAAACATTTTAGTCTGTAAACTGTTCTGCCAGAACATTTATAGTTCAGTTTCAGCTTCACATTCTGGAAATAAATCTATTAAACACCTTTTACATCAGTTATTGATAGATAATCTCCAGATCAGTCTGTGTTGATGTTCAGCTTTTCTCATGTCGATGTGTGAAGGATTTCTATCTGCTGAGTCATCGTTTGCTGCAAATGATGGAGTTTATAAAGAAATGCTGCTGTTGACTTTTAGGCAGTAAGACGTTAAAATGTTTCTTTGCATCTTTTACTGTATTTCTATTAAAGATTAAAAGGCTAACAGGACAAATCTGCCAATTTTGTTACCTGATTAATCATTAAGATAATCAATTAATCATCGGAAACATCAATTAGTCATCAGAATAACTAGAATTATGGAGCCAGCTGTTAGTTGCGGCCCTGGTTTACAGGAGAATTGGTAGAAAATCTCTTGGACGTACGTGTTTGACGTCGAACAGAACCGTGGACGTCTGATTTCCTGCCGCGGTGACGGAAAGTGTCACCAGGTGGTTCTGCGGGTCCAAAACAGCCGTCTGGTTGAGCAGAACCCCCGTCTGGTCCGGCGCCGTCAGCCGCACGGTCTGCAGGGCCTGAAGTGACGGAAACGGATCCGTTTAGACGGCGGCTCAAAGGAAGAACGCAGCGCGGTCCGGATGTGAGCGTGGTACCGTAGAGCCCGGCCCGGTCAGCGCGAGGTAGCCGATCAGTCCCATCGCCATGGCGACCAGGAGCAGCAGCGCCGACAGGCAGATCCAGAATGCCTTGGCTGGGAAGTGGGCCGAGTCAGAACCTTCACCCTGAGAACACGGCAAGAACCTCAACAGGTCTGCAGCCTTTAAAGACTTCAGCAGTGAAAAGCATTCACACCAATCTGAAAAGTGTGGAGAGCTTGCAGGACGGCTTTAACCAGAGAAGCTCTGGAGGAGCTGCAGCGATCCACAGCTCAGGTCTGAGTGTCAACAGGAAGAGCCGCAAGAATAAAGGTGGCTATTCTGCCTTTGGCCACTAGAGGCAGAAAAGAGGAGGCCAAAATGGAACTGAGGATGTGGTGGTGGCAGCATCATGCTGAGGAGCTGAATCAAGAAGAAAACCAGAGACTGGATTGGAGGTTCAGTTTCCAGCAGGACGATGGTTTAGACCACAGCTGGTTTGTGGCCTAGTCAAAGTCCACACCTGAATCCAACTGGATCTGTGGACAGACTTGAAGACTGATGTTGAAAGCTGGTGGAAACGAACGGCGGTCTCACCTGGGATTAACTTGGGATTGAATAGAAATGCACGCCACACTTTTCAGATTGGTATCTGGATCAGTGACATTCTGCGCTGGTTGAAGTTTTTTTTTGTTGAACATGAAAGCTTTTCTATCCGTTTTGTAACAAATCCGGATCACCAATTGGATATACTCATGTTTGATCTCCCTTTGTAAATTAAGTTTGATATTTTTTCCGGAGCCGCTTCCTGCCTGACCTCCGTCCTTACCGCGCCCCGGCCTCCTGAACGCGTCCAGCACTTCACCATCCTGGTTCCTCTGGTGGCTCCTCACGCAGCTACCCGCATCGGTCTGCAGTCATGACCCGCTCCGACTGAGGCTGGCTCACCTGGGCACGCGCTTTTTACCCCCACCCCGCCCAGCAGGAAGCACACCTGAGCACAAAAACTCCTGATCGTCCTGCAGGTTCGGGTTGGATCTCCGCCGGCCGGCGGGCGGGCCAGCCTTTCCGGCCCGGACAATGGACAAAGCGGCGCGGCGCGGACAGCAGCCGTCAGCGGCCCGGAGGCGATAGGAGAACCGGAGCCGCTGACAGAACCAGGGTCACTTTCAGCTGAAAAACTGAGGTGAGGCTGGCGCTGGGAAAACACTGGCTTTTATTGGGGATCTTAAACATCTGATACTATTTAGATACAAACTGATCAGAAACGCGTGGTTCGGCCATAGAAAGAAAAAAATAGATTTCCGCCAAAAGAACAAACTTTGAAGGTAATCTCAGAAATTTTCTGGAAAAACTTGGAAGTTTCTGCATTTAAAAGGTCAAAATGTTTCAATTTTTTATTTTTCTAGAAAATTTCTGAGATTAAAAATTTTAATTTTTTTTCCAGAAAATATTTGACTTAGACTTGGTAAATTATAAGTTTTTCTGGAAAATTTCTTAGGTTCTTGTAGCCAACTTTTGACTTTTCAAACTCATAAAATGTCAAGTTATTTTCTAGAAAACCTTTGAGATAATCAAAATTTGTGTTTTTATTTTAGCAGAAATCGACTTTTTATTCTATCCATAATACCAGTAAACATCTCAAACATCTTCCAACTGCACTGCTTGCATAACTTCATAACTTGTCATTGCACCATGAACTGAACCAACAGGAAACAACAGATTTTGGAGCAGAGGTGTCCAAACGGGTCACTAAGAAACAAAATACTGACTTTTTAATCCACTGAACAATAAACCAAAGGATTAAATGAGTAAAATTTTATTTTTTTTGAGGGGTGTGTAAATAATCATCGATCCAAACAGGTTTTACCTCTAAAAGAAACGGTCCAATTTGAGAATTTACAGGGCATAAAAACATTTTTGTCAATTCTGAGCAATAAAAACTAGATTTGTCTGTAATTTAAAAGTAAAACCAGGTTTACTAAAGTGATCAGAAGCAGCTCTGGATGGACGTGATCCTCACAACGTCTGGAGGTTCAATATTTTGTGCTGCATTCAGCGTCTTCTATTGTAAGATTTTAACTTGGCTGTAATAATTTTGGCCCCAATTCAAAATAAAAAACTAAATCCTCCATCTGCATCGACCACCTTTCATCTCTAATTGGAGTCGTGGGCTGCAAAAAGAGTCAGGCCAGGGCCGCAAACGGCCCCGGGCCGCGCTTTGGACACCCCTGAACCAACAGCTGCAGGCTGAACATGGCGGTGCTCAACAGGAAATGACATCACAGACAGAATGGAAACAAAGTGCTTCCTTAAAGCTGCATGAACTGAAACAAATACTGCAGACGGCAGCTCTCCATCATAGGAATGGCCTAGTCAAAGCATTAAGTACAAGCTGGATTTACTCTTCTGGCAGCCGTGACTCCATTTAAAGCTGCAGTAAGTTTTACATGTTACTTACAGTTTAATATGAGGCAGATAATCAGTGGACAGGTGGATCTCCAGCTGCTCTGAAGAAATGAACAAAAAAAACAATCAGAGGCAAAAGGCAGGGCTTAGCGCTGTCAATAATCCTCGTGTGCTGCTGCTAAATGTGCTAAGAGCAGAGAAACAACGTACCGATACAGGAAAAACGTTTATTCACTGTCATCTGTCACTATGCTAACTAGCCTTAGCACTCTATGCTAGCATAGCAGAGGGAAAGGCCATGATTGACAGCGCTAAGCCCCGCCTCCTGCCTCTGATTGGTTGTTTCCAGTTAACACCAGGAGAAAGCAGAAGAGCTCCACAGATTATCTGTCTCAACATGGTGACAGTTCAGTGAATATTCATTTTTATAACGTTTCATCTGCAGCTTGAAGCCAAGTGATAAAATATCCCCTTCAAAGCGACGGGTCGTCTTCTCCCTGCAGCGCCGGCAGCAGGTCGGCGATGCTCTCCACGTAATAATCGGGCACCATGGCGCGGCGCTCGGCGCTGCTGCTGTCGCGGTGGGCGGCGGCCTCGGCGGCGGTGCTGACCCCGGTCAGGGTCAGCAGCGTCTTCAGGCCGCAGGCGGAGCCCAGCAGGATGTCGGTGTCCAGCCGGTCGCCGACCATCAGGCAGCGCTCCGGCCGCAGGCCGAACCGCTGCGCCACGCACTCAAACATGAAGCGGCTGGGTTTGCCCACCGTCTGGGCCTGGCGCTGGGCGGCCGTTTCCACGGCCTGCAGCAGGCAACCCGTACCTGGAGAGGAGGAGGAAATGATGTCACTTCCTGTTTACACAAACACACACCATCTCTGAGCTAAAAAACCCTGAAGAACCAGATAAAACTGAAGATCATCTGGTTCTTCAGGGTCGCGGCCTGACCCAGAAGCTTCAGGTCAGGCTGCAGCAGGGGGTTCAAAGTGCGGCCCAGGGGCCATTTGTGGCCCCCTGAAGGATTTTAGGTGACCCTGCGACCTCAATTCTAGAAATCATCAAAACTTCTAGAGCAACATTTTCATCTTTTTTTTTTTTTACAGCTAAACAAGAGTTGGTAAAAATATGCTTCCATTTACTAAAGTTCTGGCATTCATCTTAATTGTGGAGTAACTAGAATCACAATTATTGACCTGCTTTACTCTAAAGAAAATAATGTAACCAAAAATAATAAAAAATTAATATAAATCAACCTGAAAAATTTAGAAACTGGTCCCCTCTTGTACTGCAAAAACGTTTTTTTATGTTTTATACTGTTTTGTTCACTATAAAAATCTGACTTTTGCTGATTTTTGTAATTTTTTAGTTTATAATCGAGCAGATATATTTTTTTAAAAAGCACAAAAAGTTTGATTTAAACATGTAATATAAATATATGATTCTCAAAAAGTGAACAAATGAGAGAAAATCAGCCCGATTGTCTCAAACCGCTCCACTGTACGCCGCCCCCTACTGGACGGCCAGTGGAAGCGCAGGGGTCCTGGTGGCTAACATCAGGACTGATTTAATATTTTAAAGTATTGATGTTATATGTGGAGAACCGATATTAATATGTTCATTAAAGTATCAAGCAGCACTGAACTGATTTTACCTGGAATTTTGTTACTAAAGTTTTTATAGCAAATATTAGGTTAATTATATGAGTCACAGTTGGCTTTTATTGTTTGAGGCTGGAGAGCACGAAGCAGCTAGTAACTAGTTACTTTGACAAGAGTAACTTTTTAAGGGACTTTAGCAGTCGTTTTACTCCACTGGGATATTCTGTTTATTAGTATTACTACCCACTGGTTTCATAACTTTAATGATCTAAAATAAAAAAAACTTATGTTTAAACTTGTGGTGATGTGCTTATTTATTTTTTAAGTCTTTACTAGAATTTGAACATTGTTATATTTTTGTCATGATTTTAAACATGAACTCAGATGGTCGTTAGTAACTCGGGTCGCCTCTCTTCCACGAGTAAAACGTCATTCTGACAGAAATACTCGAACTCTGGAGAAGCTGCAGCCGCTGCTTTTATTCTTTTCTTGACCTAATGAAGCCGTCTCTCTCAGGACTTTTGGTTCTGAACAAATTAATGCTTAATATAACCATCCACACAGCCGCCATAGAAAACGACTGGATGTTTAGGTGGCTATAATTGCCTTGTTCTAAAAATGTTGAACAGCATATTTACATATTTAATATGAATCAGATTTACTCAGATTAGAGGAAATCTTTACTTCAGTGCAACTCCAGTCAGTTTATATTATTGTTAATGTGTTTCAAATAACTGGGAAGGCTAAATGCAGAAACCTTGTGGATTATCTTCATGTCTAAGTATTGATTGATCTTAACTGGGATCATCATCAGGATCCAGTCATTCATGTGGATTTTAAAAAAATCATATTTTAAATATTACTTTAAAATTATTATACAAGTAAAAAGATTACAAAAATAAAACTTAAGGCTATTTAATTATATGAATAACTCAAACATTTAAAACAAGTTATTTTTTATTACTATTAAATATTTTTAAAAATATTGCAAAATAAGTTATGACAAAGTTCTATTACATAAATGAAAAAAATACATAAAACTTTAGGAAGTTCTTTTTTATTTTGTGTATATAAATCAAAAAGTTGTTATATTTCATTGTACAAATAAAAAATAAAGCATATGAAGTCCTTTTTTATTATTATACATGTAAAATAATAAAACTTATGATGAAAGTCTTATAAAAAAATTCGGTATAAATAAAAAACCTTCAGCTTTCATTACATATAATAATAATAATAATAATAATAATAATAATGAGCAGTGAAGCCCTCTCGGGGAGCAGGTGTTCTTCCTACCTGGAACCGCCTTGCCCCCCTCCAGAGGCAGCCTGGTGTCCCTGTTGGTTCCGACAAACAGGCAGTCCTTCTGGGTCAGGTACTGCATGGCTCGGTTCAGCTTCATGTAGCTGAAGTGTTCGTCGAACCCGACCACCACCGCCTGGACCTCCGGGTCCAGAGGCACGCTGGCCCAGTCCAGCTGCTTCCCGGACACCGGGTCCGGCCCCACGCCGACCGCCTGGATGCCCACGGCCTCCAGCTCCTGCCGCATGGCGTCGCTCCCCACCAGGTAAACCTTGCCCCGCAGCCCGCACTCCGACCGCAGGTATGCGGCGCAGCAGAACGCGGTTCCGAACACCTCGTCCTCCGCGGCGTCAAAGCCCAGAGAGGACAGCTTGTCGGCGTACATCTTCCGGGTCTTGGTGCTGTTGTTGGTGACGAAGAAGACCTTCTTGCCGCGCTGCTTGAGCAGGCTGATGACCCGGGCGGCCCCGGGGATGGCCTGGTCCCCCCGCCAGATCACGCCGTCGCAGTCGAACAGCACGCTGTCCACGGAGTCCAGCAGCTGGCGGACCAGCGGCCCGCCCAGCCGCGCGCACTGGGACCCGGACATGAGGAGAGCTTCCGCCGCTCAGGCTCCAAGAACCATCAGACCCAATCCACGCTCACTCTGGCAGGTAGTAGCGGTGGAAATTCACCTGACCTTCTGCCCCGCGATGCAGCAATCTACCAACCACTTCCGCACCGGCTTAAAGGGGAAGTGACGCAATTCTAAAGGTTCCACCCACTTCCGGTAAAGCAGCCATAATTTCCAGCATTTTGCCCACAGAATCTTTTCATTTCTGACTGAAATAAATTTTTTGGCTCATTTCATCGATGTGTTACATGTTCGATTCATGTTGGTGTATTTAAACACTTTATTTTGATTTTAAAAAGAAAAACAACATATAATAAAAATGTGCAATCAGAAATCTCAAAGCCCCCATAGGGTTTGTGACCCCCATGTTGAAGACCTCTTTATTTGGCAACTAGAAAATGACACTTAACAATAAACAGAACTGAATTAAATCAGACCCATAAAAGCAACTTCCTGTGTATAAAGTTTGTTTTGGTTTCTGCCGGGTCATTAGTGAAGCCCAGCGTGCACGGCGTGGAGCAACATGTCCGCCATCAGCGGGTAAATCTGAGTTTACAGCGCCGGGCTGTCCCGGCTCCACTGGCGAAGGCTGGCTGAGTCTTCCTCAGTTGCCTTTCTTCTGGCTGGCGTTCGGAGGGAAGAAGATCTCCCGCAGGTTTCCCAGCAGCCCCCGGCTGTAGCAGTACCGGTCGGGGGCGGGGCCACAGAGGCCGTCAGCCTGCGGCGCCGGGCGGCAGCGGCGGCACGCCAGGCCTCGGCTTTTGAACCACTCATTGGACGTCTGGTTGACCAGAGCCAAGAAGCAGTGGAACATCGTGTAACCGGCGAGGACGAAGAAGACGAAGACCACAAAGCCCAGCATGAAGACGATCCGCGGAAACGTCAGGAACAGATGCTGGGAGACGAAGAGGAAGAAACATGGAGACGGATCATGGCCTTTGGCTCCATGAACTCAGTTTGGTTCTGATGTGGAGGATGTTGGTACCTGAATGATGAACAGCAGCCCGGCCGGCTGCTGCTGGCCGCGCTCGTCGACGTAGCTGGCTCTGAGCATCCCTGAACGCAGCACGGCGTGGAGCAACATGTCCGCCGTCAGCAGGCCGATGGCCAGCGCCATGCCGCACACGCTCAGTAGGTACAGCAGGAAGTAGCGCGTGTTCCTGGCGCCGACGCAGTTGTTGACCCAGACGCAGTGGTGGTCGAAGCGATGGACGCACCTGTTGCAGACTCCTGAGGTTCAGACAGGAAAAGCTGCAGTCAAACGTCTCACAGGAGCAGGTTCCTGCTAAAAGCATGCATGACCTTTGACCTTTAGCACATGCTGACCCCTGGCAGCTGCAAACATCAATCCGTTTCATCAACCAAAACAAAATAGGTAAACTCCCAAAGTAAGAAACTGATACAATGTTTTAAATCATTTTTACAGATACAAATCTTAAAAGTGTGGCATGGACTTGTATTTAGCTCCCTTTAATCAGAATAAAATCCAGTTCAGCAAATCAACTCGAGAAGTTCCCGTTTCAGTAACCAGAGTCCTGCTGGGGTCTGGCTAACGGCAACCAGCCAACCATCCCTACGATGAAACATGGTGATGGCAGCATCATGCTGCGGGAATGCTTTGAATAGAGCTAAATAAAAGGAAAAACCCAGTTAGAGGCTGGGGGAGGAGAACCAGCCTCAACATGCAGACATATTATGGGATGCTTTAAAGATTGCTCATGTGTTAGAATGGCCTAGTCAAAGTCCAGACGTAAATACAATTGAGATCCTGTTGTAGCTAGACCTCCACCCGATCTGACTGAGCTTGAACTGTTTTACTGTGACAAAAAGATAAATGCATGCCACACTTTTCAGATTTTTATTTGGAAAATATTTTTGAAATTGTGTTTTTTTTGTTTCACATCATAATTACGAGCTGCTCTGTGCTCATCTGCCTGCTAAAGTCCCAATCAAACACAGAGACGTTTGTTTCTGGAACTTTGCAGAACGTTGTGAACAGGGTGTGAACTCACTGCAGTGTTTGGAGCGTGCCGGTTTGATAAGTTGGCACGTTTCACAGGAAACTCCAGGGTGGAACAGCCGCCTGTCGTACGGATAGATGGGAGTCAGGCTGGAGGCCTTCTTCTTTGTGACTGTTCCTGGTGAGACGCAACAAAAAAACTCAAATTGATGTCACTTATTCCTACTAATCCATAAAAATAACCCAACACCGCCTCTGTTCTGGCTTTAGGGTAAAAACTGGGGGGAAGAGGAAGTGAACCTGGGTCTGTCTTGATGCAGAGGTAGAAGAAGAAAGTCTTGATGGCCAGCAGGATGTAAGGAACCGACAGGCTGGTCAGACTGCTGTCCATCTCCCTGCAGAAACCAAACACCTCCAAGCTGAACTCAGCGAAGACGGCGCCTTCCAGCAGGATGTGCAGGTAAATGAACAAGCTGCTCCTGCAAAGAAACACAGAAATAACATTTACACACAGGAGCAAATTACAATAGAGTGATGCAACAAGGCTAAGAAAAATAAACTAAAGAAGTCAGAACACTATGTGAAAAAATTCCTATAAAAAATAAACTCATATTGAAAAAAAAAGTCAAACAAGAATTAAGTCAAAATGTTACAAGAATTAAGCCGTACAATAAAATATCACAAAAAAAGAAAAATATTCAGGAATTAACTCATATTACAAGAATAAAGTCTTAAAAATCTCAGAAAAAATCACATGAAAATAAATTCATATTAGAAAAGCTGTAATAATACAAAAATAATGTCTTACAACATAAAGTCATAACATTATGAGAATAAAGTCTTAATGTTAACAGAATAAAGTGGTAATATTAGTATAATGAAATAATTTTATAACTCTTAACCTTAAAATGAGGAATGTTGAGTATGTTCAATCTGATCCTTCATCTTTAACACAGCAGCATTAGATTCCGATCAGCAGCAGGAAATAATCGTGAAAACGACTGAATCTATTTAGAAGAAAGAAGCGCGAACCAGACGAGTTGCTCACGCCAAATCTTGATAATGTTATTGAAGCTTTTTTCTCATTAAAACAACTTTTGTCTCGTAATTTTTCATTTTTTCAGGTAATATTGAGCTTTGATTCTTCTAATGACTTTATTCATGGAATAAAAATAAATTCTGTCCCCAATAGTCAACTTTTTTAATTATGGAGCTTAATTGGGGTCATAAAACTTAGTAAAAAAAATAAAAAGAAAAAAAAAATTAAACTGAAAAGTTCCAAACTCCGTTTAATATTCAATGTCTTAATTCAAAACAGACCTCTGATGGAAGAGTCTGTGGACGATCCAGTGTGAAAACCTCTGCAGCCACTGAGGAGTAAACGGTGCGACCACCTGGGAAGGAAATGCACCTGTATGAACCTCAACAGCGCCACTCAGCGGTGGTTTAAAGGAATGACAACTAAAAAAAAGAACTTACCTTTGTAACATAACTGTGCAGAGTGTTAAAGGGGCTGTGCTGCTGGCCGGAGTATTTACACACTAGGAACATACAGGTTAGCACTACCGCGACGTAGATCCCAAACAAGGTGAGGAAGTCCATGTTTCACCTGGCAGGGGCGACAGGTGTGTTAAACCTGTCCTCCCTGCCTCGGGTACGCTTTGTTACTGTTAGCTCGGCCTATTCAGTTCTCATGTAAACAGGTAGAACACCAAAACTACAACATGAAGATCCGGTTCTCTGAAAGTCCCAGATAAATATCTTACTCCAGCATGCTAACCATAAACACAGCTGCCCCGCCGCTAGCATGCTAACCATAAACACAGCTGCCCCGCCGCTAGCATGCTAACCATAAACACAGCGGCCCCGCTGTTCTTGTCCGCTGTTCAGCTCTTCTCTCACCTCAACATAACTGGCCCGGTGTACCTGCTGACCGCCAGGTTCACCTGTCTCCCACCTTCTGCATCCGTGATTGATGCTACTTCCGTAGCCTGACGCTAACATGATCACGTGGTTTCTGATTAACTTCGCCGGGTCAACATGGATATTACCAGTAAAAGTATCTCTATTTCAATATAGTTTTACTAGATTGGATTAAAGATTTTAAATTACAGACAGATAAAAAAATATATCAAGAAATCCTGTTATTTTAAAGAGTAACTATAATAGAAAATTCAAATAAATAAACACAATACCAAATTCAGGTAGAAGAAACACTTTTCCACTAATTATGAGCCTACCTGTAAGACTTACAAGGATGCAGTTTTTGCATTAAAAAAGTTCTGTTTTCATAATAAAAATATAAATTAAAGTAGAAGAAATTACACTATATTCTTGGCCCAGTTATTCTTCTCTTCACGGATATTTTATGGCCCCCAACGACAATTCAACAATAAATTAGGACAAAAATACAACTTTAAATCTATTTACAAAAAATGTTAGATGCAACACAAAGTGATAATTTTTTCCAAGGTTTCTATCTGTTGTCATGGTAACTATGACCACATCTACTCATCTACATATAATAAGACTTAGACTTCAGTTCATCAAAATCTGCTTTTAACTGCTTTATTAAAACTTGACTGAATACAGGAAGTGTTTTCAAACGAAGGCTGACCCAGCAGACAAATGATCTGTTTAGTTTTCTTTAAGCTAAAAGAAATGCTTCTCATTTAACGAGGAAAAACATTTGAAGTTTGGATCTACAATCCTGTTCCTACAAAAAGAATCAGATTATTTGTTTAATTAAAATAGTTTATGCTTAGTTTATTGTTACATAGGTAAAAAAAATATTACAACATATTTAGTGATTTTAGTTTTTTGACTTGAGAGAATGTTTGAGCTGATGATTTTGGCCAATATTACAAAAAGTCTGGACTCGCCTGACGTGCAGAATTAACACCTGTCTAACCTTTTCTCCCGTCCAGGCCCGCTCCCCGCGCCATGATGCATGATGGGATACCTGCTGGGTCTGGTTGCGGACGCGGCCGGCCTGCAGCTCAGGTTTCACCCCTCCGGTCTGGCAGGACCACATCACTGCGGAGCGGTGAGCTCGCCTGTGGCTGCGCTGTAAAAAGGTACTGGTTGTGTCCAGGTTAGACTGGAGGGAAACTTCCTGTCCTGGTGATTTTTCCATCTAAATCCTGCGATTGTTTTCACAGTTTGGCAGCTGAAGCGGTAAATGTTTCTGTCTGATCAGTTTGTTTCCTGTTTGAACGCTGGCTTTGTTTCATTATTCAGGACTTTCTCTTGACCTGTAAAGTTTGACATGATTTACCTGATATGATGTCTTGCAATAATATTAAACTATGTCTAATAGAAAAATGTCTTTTCCATAATCAGTTTAATGTGAGCTCCAGCTTCTCTTCCTGGTTAACATTTGGGTTGATTTAAATATCTAACATTTCCAACACATTTTGTAAAATATCACAAACAAACTGGAACGCCACTTATATTAAATCAGATGTTATAATCAGTTACTCAGAGCTGAAATTGTCTTTTTATGAAATATCTTTTCACTGTTTCCTGGGTAGTTTCCTGTTTGGATACTTTTTACTTTTACTTCAGTGAAATCTTAGAAATATATTGAAAGATGCAAATAAAGAAGTAGTTCCTTTCCTCTTTTAAAGGAAACATATTCAGTAACAGCATGCCTCCAGTGAATCTGCCATCAGCAGTAGACGGTGAATCTGCAGCTGGAAAATCATCAACATGAGAAAAGCTGAGCGTCAGGGCGGTGAATGGATGAAATGGAGATTATTATTGATCAAGCAAATGTGCTAAATAGATTTATTTTTCCAGAATGTGAACCAGGCGAAGCTGAAACTGACCTACAGGAGTTTTGGTGGAACAGATTTACAGATGAAGAAGTTTTTTATTTTAAATGTTTGTATATTTTGTTAGTTTTATTTTGACTTTTGCTCAGATTTTGTTGTTTTTTCACTGAATGGTTTTTCTGGAGTCTTTATTTTCAGTTAATGATGAATCGATTACTAAACTAGTTAATGATTATTTCAATAATCGTGATTGATCCGATGAATCGTCTCAGACTTATCGAGTTATTGTCGTCCATCTTGGTTGATAAAACACTTCCAGTATTGGGCTGAGGCGGTTTAGAGGGGTGTTCCTGTATTGATGACGGGGTGGAGGAGGACTAAAGGTCCATCTGATAATCCTAATCCTGTGGGCTGAAGGATTACGTTGCCCCCAGTCCTGCACAGACCCGCAGACTTCCAGGCGGGCGGATGCTCCAGTTAGAGTCCGTCAGGCTTCGTCAGCGCGGCGCAGAGCGATTCTGGGCCAGCAGCGGTCCCTGGGAGAGCCACCTCGCCCAGAGAGGAGGAGGAGAAGACACTGCGGTGTATTTATAGCTAAATGAGGCCTCACAACGGCCTTTTTTGGGCAGAATTATTAAGGAAGTGAGGTGCGTGGTGCAGCCGTCCCAGTTTTCTGATTACCAGTGTGCAAGCTGGCTGGCCTGAGGATGAATCAGGGACTAACTCCCTGACACACTCACAGAGAGACTCACTGCACACTCACCCTCTGCTCATGACGAAGCGGCTGCTCTTAGGGTGGAGCAGCATCTCCAGCCGCTGACCTGCTCTGCCTGACTCCGGCCTCCTGGGACGTTTCACAGCTGGACTGACTGACTGACTGACCGGCAGGATGAAGAAGTTCCTGCAGAATAAAAAGGGCAGATACTCGTTCCGGCAAAGCAGACGTGGCCCTCGGTGTCCATCTAAAGATTTCTGTAAGCTTTTACTCTCAGTTCTTACACTTTGGAGGAATTATTCGCAGCTTAATGTCAAGTTTAACAATTATTTCTGAGGCTGTTGCTTTTGAGTAATTTGTTTTGAGGTTTCAGTCTTAAGAAGCTTAAAGTTTGATAATTATGTCCAACAGAACTGAGCTGCTCCACTTTCCTTTGCTCCATAATTACCATTTAATGGAAATGTGCTCATTTCTGCACAAACGTTTGTCTTTCGAGCTAATTAAGGTCACAGTCGGTGTCATGGCTCCGTGTGATTGGCTGCCGTGGCTTTTAGAAGCGGGTCGGGTTCGGCTCGGCTCGAGGTGAAGCTGCTGCAGCTCTCAGTTCAGGCTCAGTGCAGGAGGAGGCAGATTAACTCAGATTAACTCAGATTAGACACTTTGGAGGTAAATCAGTGGAGCTGGAGGTTTGGGCTGCGGTGGGTAAGTGGAGGATCTGATGGTGGGAGAGTTGAGATGCTTCCATCTTCATCTTCATCCTCTCCCCATCCAGTCCTCAGCATGCCGGCGTCCAACCAGGGCTGGCCCGAGGACTTCGGCTTCCAGCTGGGCGGAAGTGGACCCAGCTACATCCTGTGGGTGGAGGAGGGCAGCAGCGCCCACCTGGCCGGGCTGCAGGCGGGGGACCAGGTCCTGGAGATCGAGGGCCATAACGTGTCCACTCTGGCCCCGCAGGCCGTCATCGCCATCGCACAGACGCAGAAGAACATCCCGCCCAGCATCGGCGTGGTGTCCCGCATCCAGCAGGTCCAGTTCAGCTCCCCGCCTGTCCCTGAGCTCATGTATTCATCTGCTCATGCATTCATCTGCTCATGTATTCATCTGCTCATGTATTCATCTGCTCATGTATTCATCTGCTCATGTATTCATCTGCTCATGTATTCATCTGCTCATGCATTCATCTAACAACCAGTAAGAAGTTTTGCAGCCTTGTTTCTGAACCAGGAACAAAGTTTGTTTGTTTATTTTCTATTTGTGCTTTAATCAGATTAACAGTAAATGTTTATTGAATGACATTTTAAATCCGTCCACCTGGGATCGGACGGCGCCTCTGCAGCTGTCAGCGGGCGAGAGGCAGGGTCACCCTGGGCGGGCCGCCGGTCCATCACAGAGTCCAGGATAATCCATGTTTTATCTTCCTGTGATGTTTTGTTTTGAAGCTAGCAACAGGTTTTATGGTTTCACCGTTGTTTCCGTGTCTGGTCCAGATGGACATCGTTCCGGGTCCGGACAGTCGTTTTGGCTTCACCATCGTGGGAGACTGCCCCCTGCTGGTGGAGGACTGCTCACCGTGCTCCCCCGCCGGCCGGGCCGGGCTGCGGGCCGGCGACTTCGTCATGGAGGTGAACGGCATCCCCGTCAGGCACCACGAGATGGCCGCCGCGCTCATCAAGGCGTCGCAGGGCCGGACGCTGCGCCTGGGCGTGCTGAGCCTGGGGCCGCACCACAAACGCAGCACCAGCCTGGAGGACGGCCCGGCGGGCGGCGAGTGGGCCCGGCTGGACCGCAAGCACAAGGCTCTGGAGTTCAACATGAAGGTATGGCAGGCAGACAGGAAGACGCTAGGCTAATCCAGGGTCAGGCCAGTTCTGTTCCAGCAGGAAGAGGAACCGCACCACTTCCTGCTTCAGCATCCTCCATCAGAACCGGATCATCAGTCCGGTTCTGTTCTTCATGGTTCTGCTGAATCTTAGCACACTTAGAATAAGACAAAACTAAGTTACAAGTAACTTTTAGTCAAATACTGCATCTTGTTTTAAGTCAGTATTTCCTTAATATTGATGAAAAAGTTCTGGTTCCAGTGGTCGGACTAGTTACTCTGCCAGAAACTCCTCCTCCACATCTGAAGCTCCGCCCCTTGTCTTTAGCTCCGCCCCTCATCCCTGCAGGTGGAGCAGCTGCTGGGCGAGGCCCCGGAGGTGAAGGAGAAGCTGTTCTCGGTGCTGAAGCAGTACGCAGCGGAGAAGAAGGTGGAGTGGCTGGCCTCGGCGCTGCCGGAGGTCCTCACCACCGCAGAGCAGCGGCAGCTCATCTCCAGCATCAGGTAGGGGTCGGAGCGGCTCCCCGCCTCCGTCAGGGCGGGCAGAGTGGAAAACACATTAGGCTCGGTGGTTCCCAGTGTTCCCAGTCAGTCAGCCTGTCAGAGAGAATCTGGATCTGGAAGAATCAACATTAAGCTTCGTTTGAGCCGTCCTCCTGGCTAACACCTGAGACATTCGGGTCAAATTTTCAGTTTGTTCAGGAGCTTTAGAGGAACAAACCGATCAAAGCTCAGAAACTCTGTGTTGGAAACAGAGCAGTGAGTGGGCCGCCGCTGCTGCAGAACATTTATTTATATCCCAGCAGTCTGCTTCCTGCAGCCAGCAGGGGGCGCCGGCAGCAGCAGGCTTTCATCCTGATTGGTTCCAGGAAAACACCAACATGCATCTGTGAACAGATGACGGCTCCTCTAAAGGGAGAGAAACTGCTGACAGCCCCCAGAAGCACCGCGATTTAAAGGTACAGCGCGTATTTACCTATTACAGCTTCTGTCAGAATATTGGCACAAAATACTGAATCCATCTAGAGGGACGCTTCACATCAGTCTAGAAACACGAGTTCATGTTTGATCTTATTATGGGTCAAAGCTGTAAATGTACAAACCTCCCCAACACTCCTTGGCCTGGTCCACCCGTTGCTAGGTGCGGTCGACCCCGTTGACCCGTTGCTAGGTGCCGTCGACCCCGTTGACCCGTTGCTTTGCTGATAAAAATCTAGAAATTTCTGTTTGATTTCACTGATTTATTCTGGTCCTGACTCTGGTCCTGGTTCTGTTCTTAAAAGCAAAATATTCTAAATATTCAGACTTTTATTATGCAACTGTTGAATAATAAAATTGCTGAGCAAATCAAATAAAAATGATCTCTGAAATGTATTAAAATATAAGTTTAGTTTGATTTAACGCCAACACCAGCAGAGCTGCAGCGATATTCTATAATCTCAGATTAGGGTGTGACTAGATTTCCACATAAAACCAGGTTGGTTTGGAAATATTTGTTCCCTTAAAATCTAAAATCATCCATTAAAAAAACAGCATTTTGTGTTTATTTAGAAGAGTAAACATTTTCCTAAAGCAGGCAGCTGTGGGAGGAGCCTGCTGTCGCTCAGCTCTCACTCTCACCTTGTCGCTCAGCTCTCACTCTCACCTTGTTGTCGCTCAGCTCTCACTGTCACCTCAACGTGACCCCACAATAAAACTTAACCTAAATCCTCTTTTCCTCCACAAACAGATGCACAGTTAAAAACTGACGATGAGTTATTGCCATTTTTATTAAAAGTTATCAGCTGTTTGTTGAGGAAGAGGAAAATCATTTTCATAACTCATCATCATCATCATCATCAGTTTTATATTGATATTATTTGTTATTGATTCATTTTATCAGCTGTTTTCCAGCCTGGAGTCGTTATGTAACATCCGACTGCAGCAAAAAGAATTTGAACCAAATGAGGAGTTTCTCTAATTCATACGGATATTTACATACAGGCTGCTGACGTCTGATTGGATGATAGTAAGCATGTTAGCACGTAGCAGAGAAAACACAGCAGGAGCATCTGTCCATCTATCTTCCATAAAGTTTCATCCCCGTGTTTTTCCTCCAATCATCTCTCAGCTCTGTTGTCTGGCCGACGCATGCAGGGAGGTGAGATGCTGACGGAAGTGGAAGAGAGAGTGGGATGGAGAGAGAGGAGGAGGATGGAGAGAGAGAGAGGAATCCCACCTCGCTCACTCACTCCCACACCTTTTCTGTCCCGCTGTATCGATGCGCTGCCGTTTCTCTCTGCAGCAGTTCTGATCAGCAGGCAGAGTTTCCTCCTCAGATGCAGATCTGATCTCTGATTTAATCTCTGATCAGTTTTCTGCCTCCTGACTCGTTGGAGTTCCTCCTCTCTCCCTCTGGGAATCGGTTTCTTCAGTTCTCTGGTTCAGACATGAAGGGAATCCTGTTGAGTTAGTTCCAGCTGAACTCTGACTTTCTGTCTCCAGTATGGACTGAACCGGACCTGAACCAGACCTGAACTTTGAGGACAGTCTTCTAACGTGTCTCCGTTTTCCTCGCATGCCGCCATGTTTGCCAGAATCTTCGTCCCCAAGAAGCACCGGCAGCGTTTCGACGAGGCCGTCTCCCAGAACGTCATCAACCGGCTCTGCCGCTCCAAGAGCATCAGCGAGCCGCAGGGCCGCATGCGCCGCAGCCGCAGCGAGGACCAGTCCGACCGCCGCCACGGCTCCAAGCGGGCCAGCTCCGTGCCCAGGGACGGCGGAGAGCCGGAGAGGGAGCGGGGCGCCCGGAAGGCCGGGGGCCCCGCTCACCCCCCGCTGGGGCCCAACCAGAGGTAGGCAGTAGGAACGTAAAGAAGACGAGGAACTCAGACATTTTTAAATTATGTTTGATGCAAATTCAAATTCTCAGATTTGAATGTTGCCATAATTCCTGTGATGTTTGAAATTCCAACATTTGCTCCATCATTTATTGTTTATCTGCATAAAAAGTATCAAAAATCAAATATCTATCGTTTTATTTAATTAAAATAATTTTTAAAGTCACAGCAGCCATTAGATGGTGTCATGTGATACAGACACAATTCAGTTATTTACAAATAATCTACAGAAATTATAGGAAAAATACAAACAACTTTTACATTTACTAAGAGAAGAAGAAAAACCTAAAAGTCCAGTGTTAATATATGTGGTAGTTTACAACAATCGTGTTTAATGTTGGTTATTCATTATAAAAATATAAATCCATTGTAATAAGCTTAACTGACTCCTTCTGAGTAAAATCACAAACAATAACTAACCAGCTTGTATTGATATTTACAAGCCAATAATCAATGAAACCTGCAGATTGATCATCTTTCATCCCAGTGAGATTTTTCACTTCAGCAGTTTGAAAACAGAGGAGAACTCAGAGCTGATTACCGCGCCGAGCTGCGGTGGGTTAGCGCTCACCGTAGAGTTCATGAAGGAGAGAGACGCCGGCGCTGCGTATGATGTGGGCCGGCCAGAGTCTGGTAACGCTGCAGATCATCGGCCTCCCATCAGACCGGGCCAGAAGTCACCTTTAATTCTGGGGAAATTTAATTCCCAAGAATTCAATTCAAAGAGAACTATGGAAACTCTTTGGGTTTCCATAGTTCAGAGTGATGTCATCGCACTCAGGGCGGCCATCTTGGTAGGCAAACGTGTTTTACAGCTTCTGTTTATCTGGACTTTGAATTCATAATATTCCATCTCAGATGGAATATTAGAGTCAGGCTAAGAGTTTTATTCTTTTAAATTAAACAATAAAGATGTAATATTAGGAGAAGTTCAATAAAAAACTGAAACTGAGGATTGTTGAGCATCTTGTTAAATTATAATTTGGCATCAGATTCACAGATGAAGGAAATCTTTCATCTTTAACACATCAGCATCAAATTATTACCATCAGCTGAACTTTGAGACGATTTAACAACGACTGAGTGTAGAAGAAGCAGCCAGATGAGCTGAGCTGCTCTCATCAACTCAAGTTTTTGTCTCTTTAAAACATTTTGGTAAAATTACACATTTATTCTGCTCATATTCTAACTATATTCTGATACATATGTCAGGGTAGCCTGGCCCTGATATTCCATCATCTGACTCCCAGAAGGGACGATTGGAATAAAAACATTTTTGAAAATATTTTCTGTCATTTATTTTGTAGGAAAGAAAAATGATCAAATTTGATATGAAATAAATCAGACTGAATTTTTCCATCAGGCTGCTCTCATCCCTCCTTACATAACATGCTGCAGACTCCCCAGTCTTCCTCTGCAGGTTGCCTTTTTAGGTTTCCCTCTGCTCAGAGACACCCAGGCTGCGTTGCCTCCAGCCGTTTCCATGGCAACGGGCTCTGGGCATTCAGCAGGCCTCCGCCGCCTCCACCGCCGATGCTGACGAAGCCGACAGAAGCACCGCCGCGATTGAAATGTCACGGCTGTTATCGGCGACGAAAATGTCACGATCTGGTTTTATTTGGACCAGAACCGACCCGACAGAACTGCACAGGGGAGGGGGGCAGTACCACAGAGAGAGAGGGAACAGAGTATCATGCCTCCATTTGCTCTGACTCCCACTGACAGGAAGTGACACATGAAAACAAAGAACAGGCTGGCGAACAGCAGCGGACCGGACCGGACCGGACCAGACCGGATCACTGCCTTCCAACTGCATCACAAGGTTCTGCTGAGGCTACATAATCACAAAATAAACAATCAACCAGATAATTGATCCCAATAATCTGGCAGATTAAAGATTTAAACAGGAACTTAAAGCCGTTTCTCAAACGGTGGTGGGAGGGCCCCTGTGGTACCTTGGCTGCCTGTACTGCGATCCTGAAAATATGAACCAATCAGCTGCTGAGGAGCGCCAGCCGAAACCATGCTGGTGTCCGGTTCCGCTCTGGTTCCGCTCTGGTCCAGCTCCGGTTCAGTTCCGGTCCCGGTCCGGGACTTAGACTTAACTAAACTAGACTTAACTTAACTAGACTTAACTAAACTAGACTAGACTTAACTAAACTAGACTTAACTAGACTTAACTTAACTAGACTAGACTTAACTAAACTAGACTTAACTAGACTTAACTTAACTAGAATAGACTTAACTAAACTAGACTTAACTTAACTAGACTTAACTAAACTGGAGGAGTTTTTAGAAAAAACGTTTTTTCATCTTTAATCCAAATTGTTTTTTTATTTTGTGTCTTTTCTGATTCTCCTGTTTTAGTCTGTAAATCCAGGTAACGATTAATCTGTTACTGGATTAATTGGTGATTATTCCAGTAAGGGGTTAATGGTTCCAGGCCCGGCTGCAAGCCGGTACCAGCGGCCCGGTTCTGCAGCCGGTCCGCCGGTACCAGCTGATGTCTCCGTCTGCAGGGTGATCCGAGTCTACAGAGGGAAGAAGAGCTTCGGCTTCACGCTGCGAGGCCACGCCCCCGTCTGCATCGACGCCGTCATCCCAGGTACCGCTTCCAACTCAGCATCCGGGTCGGATCAGAACCCAGGTGGGATCAGAACAGGTTGGTTCTGACCAGCTCGGTTCTGACCGGATCGGATCAGACCATGTCGCAGGAAGTGGGTGTGTCTGACTCAGCCAATGAGAAGAGACAAAACAGTCGGGTCGGGTGGCGCTGCGGCTCCTATCATCTGCTAAAGGCCACACAGATGCATGATGGGAACTTGCCTTAACGCTTGGTGCTTTAATGTGACGACCAACAGGAAGTGGAGCTCTGTCTTCCTGGAATATGATCCGAGTTTTAATCTGCAGTTTGTAACTTTTATAAAATATTTGTACTTATTTATTGAACTGCCTCCATGTTGTTGACACAGATAATCTGTGAACACACGGATCTCCTCCAGACCCTCCCTGACCTGCTGCTGTCTGAAGAAATGCACCAACAACAACCAATCCCAGCCGGAGGCGGGGCTTAGCGCTGTTAATCATGTTACAGACTTGCTGCTAAATGTTACTGTTACAGGAAAACCATTTATCCACCATCGTCTGTGTCTATGCTAACTAGCCCTAGCATTCACGATATGCTATGCTAGCTGAGATTGTGATTGACTGTGCTAAGCCCCGCCCCTGGCTCTGATTGGTTGTTTCCAGTCTTTTCACAGATTATCTGTCTCATAACAAACTGACCCAACATGGAGGCGGTTTGAATATGTAAAAACATTTATTTTTATGGAAGTTACTCAGTTTACCTCCAGCATCGCCTGTGGAGGGAAGTGAACAAAACGAAACGCTGAGCGGGGGAAAACTGTCAGTCAGCTGTAATCTGAACACAAGGAGCAACACGGTGGTGGCAGCATCATGCTGGGAGCTGAATCAGGACAATCCTGGAGAAAAACCTGTTAAAGGCTGAAGAAGAGCTGAGACAATCAGCCTGACTTAATGAGTTAGAATGGCCTAGTCCAAGTCCAGACTTAACTACCCTTAAGAATCTGTGGCAGGACTTAAAACAGAGAAGGATTTCAGTCTGTAGATGTTGAAAGCTGCAGCTTCAGCACAGTTCTGACTCAGCCAGTCTGAGTAGAGAAACATGCCACACTTTTCAGATTTTATTTGTTGAATTTCCCCTGCCTGCTCCAACTGCACATTGTGTTGGTTGGACTAATAAAAACACATCCAAGAAAAGCTGAGAAGAAACTTCCAGGTTTTAGGTGAGGATGGAGAACGGGCAGAAGAAATGGAAGAATAGATTCCTTTAGGTGCGTTCGCTTGTTTTCCCTTTTTTCTTTAGTATTTTCACTTGTTTTTGGCTGAGATATTTTAACATGAGACTGAAGTCGTTAATTTAATCCCATTAGATTCATAACGATCCTTTATATCAGTTCTTAATAATCTGCTCTGGGTTACTTAGATGAAAGTATCAGGGTGTAGAAATTAGTTTGTTATTGAAGCTTCAGCAATGACGGCGCCCAGCCGCCCACCACCACCCACCAGCCTGACTCAGTGGGCCCGCTGGGGGCGGAGCGTCGTGAGCCCCCCCCAGGCCCGCTGGGGGCGGAGCGTCGTGAGCCCCCCCCCCCAGGCCCGCTGGTGAAGACGAGCCACGAAGAATAGACAGCAGAATTAGAGCCGCTGTCAGTTTGCTGACAGATCAGGAAGTGGCGGCTCTCTGACCGCGGCGCCGTTCGTTACCCAGCACCATTTAACATGCAGCTCATCTGATCTGTGACGAGGCCGGAGCTTCGTAGGCCGGAGGGTTTACTGTGTCTCTGGACCCTCAGAGCCACATAAAGACGGCTCCAAAGTCGGCCTTCTTTCAGCTGAGAACAGAGACAAATGTCTCGACGTCAGAAACTCGTCCAGATGTTTATCGATTACTGCTTTCAGCTTCTAGGCACCACAAATCTGGAACAAACTTCTGGATAAGATCTGAAACACTGAGGTTCTTTAAATCCAGACTAAAATCATGTTTAGTTGCTTTGGAAAGGTAATAAATTGAATATTGATCAAAAATGTTTGATGATTTTGATCGCATATTGTTCGCATATTAGTGACTCAGTGATGTTTTTCAGAACTGCCTTGTTGAGA